ATTGATGTTTTTACCTTGAAAAAGGGTTTTTGTATTATTAGAGTGTTTTTAATTTTGAATGAAAAAGAAGGGTTTTAACTTTAATGCATATGCAAAAGGGGAAGAAAAAGGCTAAAAGGAAAATGTCTACCTATGTTAGCATATTTTATAAAATGGTACAAATTCTAATTTTCAAATAGTACAAAATAATTTTTTTGAATTTTTATAAAATGTGATCACTAAATGAAATATAATCAACAACACCTTATTTGTTTTATTAAATAAAAAAATTAAATATAATACATAGTCGATATAAAATAATTTTACATCAACATCAAATAAAATTTTAACATTCAATCATGATATTTTAGTATTTTAAAATAAAAATATGATTTTGTGAAATACACGATGACAGAATGAAAATATGCATATTCTTTTTTTCTCAATTAAAAGTTCCACACCCATTATTTTTAAAAGTTTGACCACAAATTATAACAAGGTAAATAAATAAATAAATAATAATAATAATAATAATAATAATAATAATAATAATAATAATAATAATAATAATAATAATAATAATAATAATAATAATAATAATAATAATAATATAATGATAATAATAATAATGATACTAATAATAATAATAATAACGATGATAATAATAATGATACTAATAATAAGAATGATAATAATAATAATGATGATAATAACAATGATGATAATAATAATGATGATAATAATGTAAGAATTTTTTATAACAATAATTAGATATTAAAAAAAAATATAAATAATCATGTTTTAGGGAAATTTAGGTAAATAATCATGTTTCAGAAAACACTTAAATAGAGGAGTCAAGTGAGATGGCACATCCTCTTTAATTTTATATGAAAGCGCCAAGTGAGATGGCGCATAGGTGTAACGTGTTTGCCCTAAGCCATCTCAAATGGCGCCTAAGTGCTTTTAACACTCAATTTTTTTGCTTTCTATTTTAAATAAGAGACAATAAGTAAACGATATAACTTAATGAAACTTCGATTTTTCATTAACAAATGAACAATTACATAATGAAAAAAAACCATGAATATTATTTAGTTGTCCCTCGGAACTCGGTAACGACCCGTGGTTCCTCACCCGCGTCCTCGCGTATCTCGTGGTGGGCTTCGTCGATTTTCCTGTTGCGGTTGGGTCGATGGTCTAGCGAATTCAATGCGTTCAGGATCTATGAAATTTGTCAGATCACCATATCTGAAAGATCCGCTTTGGTACAGTCGGTTACCCATTCCCTTAAAGTTTGATCGTCTTGGTGGGGGATGGGGTTCCATGGATGATTAATAGCATTGGTCGTCTGAGTAAGGGGGGTAAAAAGGAAATGAATTTTGGGGTGTTTGGTATTGCGATTGTTGGGTGTTATGGTAATGTGGTGGTTGATGATAAGTTGGGTCGGTTGGGTCATATTCTTCAGGAAAGCCTACATCTGAGCTAAGGTGAGATGATGAGGGGCCCATATCGGGATGTTCAGAAGACTGGAGTTGCGTGTGGGGCATGTGGGTGTATTGGTATTGAGATTGGGATTGGGGTTGGGTGTGAGGCATATGGGTGTATTGGTATTGAGGTGGTGATTATGGTTGGATGTTTGTGGATCTGTATCGTCGTGGTGTTTGGTGGAAGGTTGATGTGCGTATGGTTTGTTGTTGGGGATTTGAGGTTTGTGTCCATTATGTTTGTGGATCGATCAAATACCTCGAATGAGACACATGCATTTCTGAGTTAGTAACCGATCTGTACCAATCAAAATATTGATCTGTGTGTCGTATATTATTCTAGTTGAGGAAAACAGGGAATTGTAAGACATGTTGGTGACACCTATGCCACATCTTACACCATTTTATAGAAAAATATTTCCAATTAGTAAGACCCTATTGGACGTCGATCCTTTTGAGATGCCAAGGTGATAAACAAGTTAGATCGCATGGTATATCTTGATGCATTCCGAACAGCATCTTGACATGGTCATTGTGGTGCATCTCCACAATGTTGAACCGTATTATTGAAGTCTTTGCAGTCCAAACTGTTGTATCTCCGGGGTTGGGTTCATGGTCCAAACCCAAACATGATCTCCAGATAACCGTGGATAAAAATTAATAAGAATAATGAAAACGTAAAAAATAAATAATTTAAAAGTAGAAAAGTTTAAAGGTACGTACGTCATCCGGGCCAAGGTGATCCAATAGATTACGATATAGAGTGATATTGAAATGAAAAAATAGTTAATTTATACATTTATTTGGCGAAAGGATGAATAATAAATTATTTAAGTTCTTGACTTACTTTGTTGCGTATGGGAAAATGAATGCATTATTGTTGACGGGGTTTAGGGACTCCATTATCCACCAACCCCGTGCTTTGAGTAAGAAAGCGCATCCATAAAAAGTAAATTGAAGGTGAAAACCATAATCTCTCAAATCACAAGATCATCGTAAATTAAATTATGATCTAATATGTCAAGAAATCTTACCTCTCGTCAATAATGATCCGTCATTGAAGGTGAAAACCATAATCTCTCAAATCATTACAGTATACAATTATACTATGTCATATAGAAAGACATGGTTAGCAAAGACCAAGACGATTGAAAAGGTATATGGAAACTGGGAGGAGTCATACAAAGAACTACCGTGCTACTTGCATGCACTTCAGTCGTATTCTCCTGGAACTGTTTATATTATGGAAACATTGTCGGCGTATGCCCCAGATGGTACTTATGTCAACGAAAATAGAATATTCAGTCGACTGTTCTGGGATTTTCAACCTTGTATCACAGGGTTTGTGTCCTGCAAACCTATTATTCAAATAAATGGAATGTGGTTGTATGGGAAATACAAAGGCACGCTACTTATGGCAGTTGCACAAGATGGCAACAACAATATTTTCCCAATTGCCTTTGCTCTAGTCGAGGGAGAGACTGGTGGTGCTTAGAGTTTCTTTCTCAAAAATCTCTGAACACACGTGGCTCCACAACCTGGTCTCTGTTTGATCTCTGACAGACATGCGTCTATTGAGAGTGCATACAATAATCCTGCAAATGGTTGACATGACCCTCATTCTACGCATGTCTACTGCATAAGACATATCGTGCAAAATTTCACGAGGGAGATCAAAGACAAGGCTCTTAGGCAAACAATTATGAACGCGTGGTATGCATTAACACAACCTTCATTCAAACACTATCGCAACAAGATCGGATTGTCAAATTCGGATGCAGGTAGGTGGATTGATGATATTCCAGTGGAGAAATGGACAAAGTCATACGATAATGGACAACGATGGGATCACATGACAATAAATATTATTGAATCAATGAACGGTGTATTCAAAGGCATACAAAATCTCACAGTAACCGCTTTGGTGAAATCAACATATTTTAGGATGGCTTCGTTGTTTGCAAAAAAAGTGAAATATGGAATGCGATCTTACAATTGGGACAACTATGGAGTGAAATCTGCATGAAATATATTAAGACATAAGGTACCAAAGCCAACACCCATCTTGTTATAAAGATCGAACGACGTAGCCACAACTTCATTGTCAAAGAGACAATCGACTATAACGAGGGACTGCCAAGACAAGAGTATAGGGTTTATTGGTGCGATTATGGAAAGTTTCAAGCCTTTCGTATGCCTTACTCTCATGTCACTGTGACATGTGTATATACTCATCAAGGTGCATTACTACTTCTATTTCCTATTTACAAGTCCGAAACCTTGCTCAACATATACAACAACTTTCCAATGGTAGTGAAACCTGATTATTGGCATGCATGCGAAAGGGAAATAGTATGGCACAACGATCAAATGCGAAGGAATAAAAAGAGTTGTCCCAAAAGCAAGCGTATCACAACTGAAATGGACTCCCTTGATAAGTTAGAAAGAAAGTGTGGTTTATGTTATCAGGTAAGACACAATCAAAAAATTGTCCCACTCGTGCTACAAACTCAAAAACATAAAAATTGTATGCAAACTATCTGCATTTTTTAAAGATCTAAACGTAACTTTTTTTCATTAAGAGCATTTGTTACAACAAACCATACACAAACAACAAATAAAAACACGATAAAACAATTAAGAAATTGCAACCGTCAAAACAATTTCATTTGAGTCATGCATCATCACCATTACGTCTCTGTCTGTTTTGACTTCATCCAACCAAGATTGAGGTCTTCTAGTTACAAGTGAGGTGGTTGTCCTTCTTCTCTGAATCCTTCTAATTTGTTCGCCAACATCGATTTCTCCCTCTAGCCATCACATCAACTCTCTCTTCAGACGCTCCATGGAGTGAATGTGCAAATTTTCATTTTCATCGGAGGTTTGGTGGCCGAGAAAATAACTTATCCATCTCTGGTGAAAATCATGGGAGATGTCATGACGTAAAGAACAGAGAGAAAATGAGAAGAAAATGTAAGAAAGTGTGAAGAATAATAGAAAAATGAGTGTTTTATTTATAGAAAACACAATTGCACGTAGTAGTTATCTCATATGGCGCCTCCTCCCCTTATTATAGTGCATGTGCCATCTCACATGACTAAAACAAAGTGCATGCGTCAAGTAAGACGACTCTTAAGACAAAAAGGTTAGTGCATGTGCCAAGTGAAATGACGCCTCTGTTGTTGTATATTTCGAAACATAGTCATTTGCGTAATTTTCTCGAAAATATAATTATTTGTGTATTTTTCTTTAAAAATATAGTTATTGCTAAAAAAAAATTTCACAATGCAATGCACAAAAATGTAATGCACAGAGATATATTAATACATTTTATTTTGAACATATTGGAATGTAAACTCATCTTATCTTATTAACAATATCTGTTCCTATATATCACATGAGAGTGGACACAATCTTGCCGCTTCATCAATAATCACCACAAAAAATCTCCCTTTCTCTCACATCATACTTGTTAAACTCTCCAACTTCTAATAGTTCAAGTTTCACACCACTCACCACTCCCACAATCACCACAACATGGCTACTGCTGCTGCAGGCGTAGCCTCCTTGTTTTCATCTTCCATCAACACTGTCAAATCTTCACGTTCCTCAAACCGCATGTTTGCATCTGTTGTTATACCACAATCCTCAGTTGAACCTTTGTGCATTGGTACAACAATCTCATCACAAAAGTTATGGATGCCTAGATTCTATGTTGCTGTTGCTCAGGAAGAGGCTGTTGTGGCTGTTGATGATGAAGAGAAGGTTGTGGTAGAGGAGGAAGAAAAAGAAAATGAAGAAGGACAAGGAGAGAAGGAGAATGGAGAGGAGATTGTAGCAGAAGAAGACACTAGGACTAAGCTTTATTTTGGGAATTTGCCTTATAGTGTTGATAGTGCAAAACTTGCAGGGTTAATTGAGGAATATGGTAGCGCAGAACTAGTTGAGGTACTTCATTATCCAACTCTTTTTGAATTTTTGCTTATTTATTTTGCATAAACCAATTAAGTACCTTGAAATTGGATACCGGAATAACAGCTATGTAGCATAGTCACTTATGATTGAACCTTGTCCATATGTTGCTTATAAAAAAAAAATCTTGTCCAGATGTTGTCAATAGGTGCCGCTATCTGAGATTAACAACATAGGTGCTAATGATTTATATGTCTTTAGGTTCTTTACGACAGGGACACTGGAAAAAGTAGAGGCTTTGCATTTGCCACCATGACTTGTGTTGAAGATTGTAAAGCAGTAATTGAAAATCTTGATGGAAAAGTAAGAACCATTATCTCTCTTCCTTGTAATGCTTAATCTATTTGCATGCTAAAATTTGTAAATGAACAACTTCTCAGGAGTTCATGGGGCGAACCTTGCGGGTGAATTTCTCAGACAAACCGAAGCCAAAAGAATCGTTGTACCCTGAAACCGAATACAAGCTCTTTATTGGGAACTTGTCTTGGAAAGTAACTTCTGAGATTCTGACAGAAGCCTTTCAAGAGCATGGAACTGTGGTTGGAGCTCGGGTGATATATGATGGCGAAACTGGAAATTCTCGTGGCTATGGCTTTGTTTCCTATGCCAATAAATCAGAAATGGAAGCTGCCCTTACAATCATGAATGATGTGGTATGTTACTTCTCATCTGTTCCTTCTTTTATGCACAATGTTTTTAAGAAAAAAGGTTCACGACTGTAAAATAGGCCCATTGTGATTGCGATCATGATTTAAAACTATGAACTTGATCAGGAACTAGAAGGACGGGCATTGCGCGTAAGTTTGGCTCAAGGAAAAAGCTAGTAAGGTCGATAGAAACACGGAAAAAGCTCTTAGATGTTCAACAATTGTGCGCCAAAGAAATGAGAAGAGGATGGCCATGTACCTACCATGATGCACTTGCTTCACCTTTATGAGAAGTTCCTTTTCATTTCTTGTGGTGTATAAATTACTTCCTCCCATTTTCATAAGATATGCTGACCCAAATGATATCTTATTGTATTGAAATTTTAGCACATTGGCTATGTTATATTGCTTCGTTTCCTTGTCTCACTCAAAATCTTATATTAGTTTGCATTTTCTTTTCTATATATGACACATTTGCTAAGAAGTATTGAGCACCTGAAGGTGTTAAGATTCATATCATGGTGAAAGACAAATATGAAATTCTCCACTTAGTTCATAATTTGAAAAACAATCAATTTTTTTATGAACATGGAATAATACTTTATATGTTCAAGAAATGTTAAAACTTACCGCATGACACAATCTTGATTAACACATCTACAAGATTTGTTAAAGTTATTTTCATAGAAGTCATGATTGAATCTTTGAAGAAGAAGAAGAAAGAATAACAGAATTGTAACTGAAAATGTAACAGAAAGAGAATAGAGAAAGATAAGATTGATCTCAAAATGTATTGGATTCTATTATTTCATTTTGGATAAGAGTACAAGTGGCAATACAATGGATATTTATACACAGCTATATAGATGTAATATTAGATCTAATAACAGTCCTTAGATCTAATTAATCTAAAACCACTAATACTTCAACAACCTCCCTCAAGCTGAGCATTGTAAATGTCGATCATGCTCAGTTTGGATATGAAAGAATTGAACTTTGGAGCAGCCAAAGCTTTTGTTAAGAAGTCTGCCAATTGTTCTTGTGAAGAAATAGGTAAGAGTCTAAGAACACCTTGCTGTACTTTTTCTCTAACCAAATGACAGTCAATGTCTAAATGTTTGGTCCTCTCATGAAAAACCGGATTAGAGGCAATATGAATTGCACTCTGACTGTCACAGTAAAGCACTGGTTGTCGTGTAGGTGTGATTTGCAAATCTCTGAACAAGTGAAGTAACCACTGCAGTTCACAAGTTGCTGTTGAGAGGGCTTTATATTCAGCTTCAGATGAAGATCTGGAAACCGTCTGCTGTTTCTTGGCGCGCCATGAAATTAATGAGGAACCAAGAAAGAAACAATAACCATAAATGGACTTGCGAGAATCTATGCACCCTGCCCAATCAGAGTCAGAATATCCCAGAAGTTGTACTTCAGAATCACGAGGAAATAATAGTCCTCTTCCAGGATTATGTTTAAGATACCTGATTACACGGCATGCTGCATTAAAATGAGTTATAGTGGGAGCATGTAAGAACTGACTTAATTGTTGAGTAACAAATGTAATATCCGGCCTTGTTGTGTTAAGATACAACAATCTACCAATAAGTCTCCTGTATGTAGCTACATCCTCAAAGGGCTTGCCACTATCTTGATGTAATTTTATTGAAGGATCAAGAGGAGTTGCTGCAGGTTTTGATCCTAATAAGCCAGAGTCATTAAGGAGATCCAGGCAGTATTTTCTTTGAGAAATAGTTATCCCTGATTTAGAATGTGCCACTTCTAGACCCAGAAAATATTTGAGAACTCCTAGATCTTTAATCTTGAAATGACTATCAAGTGTGTTTTTGATCCTTTGGAACTCACTAAGAGAAGTGCCAGCCAGGATGATATCATCCACATAAACCAAAAGAGTTGTGAACTCAGTTGCAGTCCTTAATGTAAAAAGAGAATAGTCAGCTGTAGACTGTGTGTAGCCTTCCTGAATCAAAAGTGAGGTCAACTTCTCATACCAATTTCTGCTTGATTGTCTAAGACCATAGATTCTCTTAAGTAACTTGCAAACCTGATTAGGTTTGGTACAAGTAACTCCATCAGGTATAGTCATATAGACATCCTCTTGCAAATCTCCATGTAAAAATGCATTGTTGACATCTAATTGGTGTAGATTTCAATTGTAAACAGATGCCAATGCAAGTAACATTCTGACAGTGGTAAGCTTAGCTACAGGACTAAAACTATCAAAGAAATCAAGGCCCTCAATCTGATTGTAACCTTTGGCTACTAATCGTGCCTTATACCTTTCTATGGAACCATCAGCTTTGTGTTTGATTTTGAAAACCCATCTATTGCCTATAGGCTTGACATGAGGAGGAGTATCAACTATAATCCAAGTGCCAAGCTTTTCAAGAGCATTCAGTTCAGATTTGATAGCAGATAACCAATGTTCAGATAAACTAGCTTCTTTATAAGTTTTGGGTTCAACATTATGGGTGAGTGAGACATAAAAGGCATGTTGAGAAGGAGATAAATGTGAATAAGAATGGAAATGAGTGATAGGATATAGAGTATCTGAGGATGTTGGTTCTTTTGAATCATGAGCAACATTGCATACATAATCTGCTAAGTAAGAAGGGGTTTGTTTTTGTCTGATGGGTTTGGAATATTGATTTGTCTGCTGGTTAGAAGGATGTACAGTAGGGGAAGGACCGGATAAAGGTTCATGAGTAGGTGTGATATGAGGGACATATGTTGATGTATCAGTAGGTACAGGAACAGGACTAGGTGGTTCAGTTTCATATGTGAAAAGTGGTGGTACAGATGTTGGTATATGTGATGGTGAATTAACTATGGGATATTCACATGAGTTATTAATAGGATAATGGTAATTCCAATTGACAGACCTGGAATTTGGATTATATGGCAGGATAGTTTCATGATGTTTAGTGTGTCTAGAGACAAAAATTTCTTTATTATTAATATCATATAGAACACACCCTTTAACTCTAGGTTTGAATCCAAGAAAAATACAAGTTCTACCTCTTGGATCAAGTTTAGTTTTATGTGATTGAATTGTGGAAGTATAAACAAGAGAGCCAAAAACTTTTAATACATGTAGGTCTGGTAATTTTTGGTGCATGATGAAATAGGGTGATTTATTGTTAAGAATAGGACTAACTACTCTATTCATGATAAAAACAGCATGGGACACAGCATAACACCAAAACTGTTTGGGTAAATTTGAATGAAACAAAAGGGCTCTTCCTATGTTAAGGATTTGTTGGTGCTTTTTCTCCACTCTTCCATTTTGTTGTGGAGATTCAACACAACTGGTTTGGTGTATAATTCCCTTTGAGGCATAGAATTGAGGCATGAGAAACTCTTGACCATTGTCAGTCCTAATGACTTTAACTTTGGTGTTGTGTTGTGTGTGAATCAAATTTACAAAATTTATGATGTGTTGCCTAGTTTCAGATTTAGATTTCATTAAAGTGAGCCAGGTATATCTACTGTGATCATCAACAGCAGTAAGAAAATAAGAGAAACCATGAACATATTTGATTGAGAGAGGACCCCAAATATCAAAGTGTATCAAATCAAAATTGTGAACAACTTTATTAGAACTTTTATGATAAGGTAAATTTTTATGTTTAGCTAAATGACATATATCACAAGTTCCTTTTGAATCAACAACAACAAAAGGAAATTCAGGTTGAAGTAAAAGCATTCTAGAATTAGAAAGGTGGCCTAATCTGAAGTGCCACAAGGCTTGGTCAGGTATGGTAATGGCATGAGAAACAGAAATACCAGGTGAAATGGTAGGCTTCTTATTTTGCAGATTGAGATAATACAAGCCTTCAATGAATTCAGCTGAACCAATCATCTTCAATGACTGAGGATCCTGAATCAAACATTGGGAATTAGTGAACTGAATAATACAAGGTAACTCAAGGCAAAGTTTTGATACTGAGATCAAGTTTAAAGAAAACTGAGGGACATACAAGACATTTCTGATGACAAATTGAGATGTAAATCTAATGGTACCCATCTGATTAACTATAGCAAAATTGCCATTAGGTAATCTTATGTTAATAGGTTTTATGTCTTGTAGAGATTCGAACCAATGAGTAAATCCACAAATGTGGTCACTTGCACCAGAATCTATAATCCAAGAACTCAGAATAGAACTATTCAAACATAAAGAAGTAGTTATGTTACCTATATTGGCCACTGAATGTAATACTTTCACCTGATTCGACGTACTCGATTGTTGGCCTCTATGAGAGCTTTGGAGAATATTCATGAGCATTTGATATTGTTCATTGGTAAGTTGAGGTGAAGACTGAGCAACATCAGTAGAAGTGTCTGTACTAGAAACATCAGCAGGTTGTTCCGTAGTGAGATTATGAGCATTGGAGTTAGAATTACGTTGCAAATGTGGTGGTACGCCATGTTTGCGATAACAAGTATCTATGGTATGACCTGACTTTCCACAGAAGGTACAAACTCGTTGTCCATGTTTCTTGAATGCAGGCTTTCTGCTATCAGCAACATTGATCAATGCCTTTGGTTCATCATCAGATGAAATAGAGATATGCTGTAGAGTCGAAATTTGACGCTCATGTTGAATAACCATAGAGAAAATCTTGTTTAAAGGAGGTAATGGATCAAGAAGCAAGATTTGCGATTTCACCACATTATACTCTTCATTCAAACCAATTAAGAAACGTATAACATGCAGCAAATTATGATTGTTCCTAGCACTACGCATGGCTTCACAAGAGCAGCGAATTCTACAAGAACAGTGAGGAATAAGCATGTATAATTCTAATTCCTCCCAGAGTATTTTGAGTTAAGAGAAGAAGTCTGTTACCGTGCGATTGTCCTACTTCAAAGAGTAAATTTCTTGTTGCAGCTCTGAAATTCGAACCAGATGACCTTGTGCGAATCTTTCTTTCAAATCGTTCCAAACATCGATAGCCTTTTCCATGAAAACAATTGATTGACCTATCGAATCAGATACAGAACGCATGATCCACGAATGTACAAGCATATTGCAATGAGTCCAAGCGCGAAAGGTTGGATCGAACGAATCAGTAGGAATTTGAATCGTGCCATCCACAAAATCAAATTTCATCTTTCCACCGAGTGCGCGACGCATCGATCTTGCCCAGCTATGGTAG